TGCCGACTTGATAGTGGCGATGACATGACGATGGTGAGGATGGTGAGGATTAGTGGTGAGAAAGGAAGTTCGTCCAATTTCGTCTATTTTAACATGATAGATCGAGGGTGGTGGAAAATGATGAAGATGGTGATTGAAGAGATGACGATGGAAGTGGATGAATTTGAATCGATAAACTTTATAATTATCTATACATTATCGATACAAATCATCATCACCACCATCATCATCATCATCATCACCATCACCATCATCATCATCATCAACAACGTCATCATCGTCATCATCACCATCATCACCATCATCATCATTGTCATCATAATCACGTTATCTCAACCACCGTGAATTGTTAGTATGGATGATAATAGGTGGATGATGACGATGATGATGACAATGATAACATAATGATGATGACGACAACGAAGATGATGATCGGAACTAAAACTGCGATGATTATAACTGTGGTGACGATGACGCTGATGACACTGACCTACCTACTTGATATGCAGACGTGAGAGCTCTAACTTCTTAGCTACGACCGAAGCTCTTTGCAAATTATGTCAATGTTGGTTATGCCATGTTTGTTGTTACCCAAATATTTCAGTATGTTTTTTAACATTCCATTCAGTTATCATGCCGTCTTTTTTCCACAATCGCGTGCCATCACATTCCATCATCTTTAAAATTTTATTTTTCTGGCGAGTACGTGCACGATAAATTTTTTCATTTCTCTCCAGCAAAAAAAAAACCCTCAAAGAAAAATGTCCCCGTCCCAGAAGCTGTGCAAACTCATCAGTCTGAACACAAGCATTGACATTGTAATCCGATATTCCGATGAATGTTCTACGAAGATTTCTTTCAAACTCACGCAAGTTTTTGTGAGCATGTCTCTTGTGCACTATTTTTAAAAATAATTCTCAGGTACATTTTTCAAATTTGTTTGTACCTCCTTAATTGTCAGAACATTTTCTCTTATGTTTGAAGCCTCACAAAAAATTGTGTTTTTCTGAGGTAACATTTTTTTTCTTTAACTTTTTTAACTATGCATGAAAATGAATTGCCTTAAGAATATGTTTGTCTATCAAAAAAGGGAAACCTCTTATTGGTCGAGTCTGTGTAAGACTGTTTGTTTTACCGCTCATTTGTCTGCTTTCCTGGATGGTAGTGATTAATTTTCCGATGGTTTGAATAGAACAGCAGGTATTAAAAACAAGTTAAAAATGGATTGAATGATAAAAGGCCGATAAATGTATTATATGAAAAAAACCGTTATTAATTCGAATGGATGACAAAATATGTTTTAAGGATTTGTCAGCTTTCTGGATGATGTGGGATAGATAGTGGGATAGATAGAAAAATGATTTTATACAAATATAATTCCATAAAATGTACGTGAGTTGGTATGAATGGAAGAATAATTGGAAACTATGTGGAAAGGTTCATTCAGATGAAAGATTAAAAATAATTGAACCACTTATTGTTCTAAACCGGTTTGCAACTTTCTCAATGGCGGGCAACTCTTGCTGTAACGGGCCAGTCGTCGTCGACCAAAAATATCTCATGGGGAATTTATGCATCATGTTGTGAATGTATTTATAAATATGTATTTTCGTTAAAAAGTGTATCAACTACTGTCGTAACCTTAATTTTATATATGTATAAATAAATCAATAAATACAAAAATACAAATTAGTTTTTTTTTAATGAGAAAACTGAAATTTTGCATTCTTGCACAATTTAACAATGTTAGTTTTAACAGAGGTAGCTGCAACTCGAAGCTGACCTGTCAGATGCTTCTGTATCGAAGTTTTGGAAAATTTATTTTGAAGAAACTGTTCACAGCATTATGTTCTTTCAAAAAGTGATATCAATTTTTTTGCTTGTTTGTCCAGATTTGCAATTTTTTTACAATCATTTTTTATATAAAGTCACCAGATCATTTTTGTCACAAGCTGATTTCATTAGCGTATCATTCTGCCTGTCTATCAGTTCCAATTGATAACAATCCGGAGAAGCCTCAGGGGTCAAAGGTCAGGTCGAGTGGCTGAGGAAATATTCTAAATTCAGTGACATTTTTTTTGAATCTTTAACCCTAAACTATTAAAATAAAAAACGACTCGGTAGATTTGATTGATTTATTTTTGGAATTGTATTGAATCATTGTGGATGTGTAAGAAAAATACACAAATTTATCAGTTGTCAAACAAGAAGATTAAGCCCCAACTCAGACTGCAACAGTATCGCATATCTGTAAATTATTGCGAGAGATCACAAACACTTTGTCTGTTGCTTAATTTTATTACAAATAGTTTTTTTTTTATTTTTTTAAGTTATTACGTTCGGAATTCAATTTAAGTAGAATGATTGATATATGACACTTGTTCATAATGTTTTAACAATTTTGAAAATTATTCCCGAGAGATTCTTAAAACGTGGACAGGATTGTGGCCCACGGTCGCCTGATGCACCCCTCCCCCTTGTGTTCTAAGCAATGAACATATCAATAAAAAAAGCAATAAAACAGTAAATATAACATTGGCAAAAAAAAAAAGCCGGCACATGAAAGCGATCGATAGTTCAAACGATCAAGATATTTGCCGACAGATCAAAGCAAGCCGTCTTTTAATCGCTCATGTATGGCTTGTAAATATTTAGGGTACCATCAAGTCATAGTATGATATCGAGATACACTATGTTTGTTTGTTTGTTTGTTTGTTTGTTTGTTTGTTTGTTTGTTTGTTTGTTTGTTTGTTTGTTTGTTTGTTTGTTTGTTTGTTTGTTTGTTTGTTTGTTTGTTTGTTTGTTTGTTTGTTTGTTTGTTTGTTTGTTTGATTGTTTGATTGTTTGTTTGTTTGTTTGTTTATTTTTTATAAAATATTGTATTTTTTAAATAAAAAAAAATTTATAAAATAACGTATTTTTATTAATAAATAATAATAATAGAATTGTCAATAACATTTATAAACTGCCTCGTAATCATTAATTAATGTCGTCGTCATCAGCATATTCGTCATCATGCCAACATGAATTGCTGAGCAAAACATCATCCCTTGCTTCTGAATAAAAGAGGAATGTTTTTATATCATTAATCAGTTCTGATAACTATGTTACCAAAGTTGCTACAACAATCATAATAAAAAATACAAGAAGAAAATAATAACAATGATCATCATCGTTATAAACGTCTTCTCAGTTCTAACGAAGTTTCCGCGCGTAAGCAAGAAGCAGGAAGTAAACTTGGCGTCTTCCCCATCAGTGCGATTGTGTCCTTGTATTTTTCGTTTTTTTTAAATGTTCATTGATTATTTAAGTTCACTGTAGCAACCTAACTTCCGGCATAACAATATTCAATTTAAGGAAAGTTCATTATCATCAACCAAAGGAAGTTGAATTCGGATGAAAAGCAACCTCGATTTTGAAAATGAGAAATGCCGCGCTATAAAAGTGCTGACGTCATCAACATCCTCATCCGAGCTTCTTCCTCAGTTTATGACGTCACAATTGTAACGACGAACCTCGTTACGTCATAATAAACACAATCGTCAACATCACACCACAACTTTCATCATAATCGTCACGGTCACTCACATCTTACCATCACAACTGTCATCATCACCAGCAACCCAACCTTAATTATCACCATCATCACCATCATCAGTGCCACCATCCACTCAGCAGCACACACGAACAACGACCATCATCACTTGAAGGAACTTCCTGGCGCCTAACAAATGCACCAGCCCTGCACAGTCCAACGATCGATTGAAATCTTGAAACCCTTCAGCGGATTAGCCTGGTCGATAGCTTTGCTGATTGATTGCATGCTTGGTTAGTTGGTCGGCTAGTGGGCTGGCTGGTTGGTTGGTTGACTGGTTGGTTGGTCGATTGATTGGTTGGTTGACTGGTTGGTCAGTCAATTGGTTGGTTGGTCGATTGGTTGGTTGGTTGACTGGTTGGTTGACTGGTTGATTGGTTGATTGACTGGTTGGTTGGTCGATTGGTTGGTTGGTTGACTGGCTGGTTAACTGGTTGATTGGTTGACTGGTTGATTGGTTAACTGGTTGGATGACTGGTTAGCTGGTTGACTGGTTAGTTGGTTGACTGGTTGATTGGTTGCATAGTTGGTCGGCAGGTTGAATGTTTCTTTAGCTGATCGGTATGATAACTGGTTGGTTTGATAGTTGGCTGGTTGGATGAATGGTTGGCTGTTAGGACAAAGGAAGGCTGGTTGAGAGGTTAATTTTGTAGATGTTACTAACGATTCGTTGTTTGTTTGATAATATTCGTCAGCTAATTTAAATTTTTGTGCCTGCCTTCTGAGCTTCAACGTTGAATTTTGATTGTATTCCATTCAAATTTTGTTGATTCCAGTTAATGTAAAACTTATTTGTTTAAAATTATATCTCATGTTGATAATCTATCTCCCTGTTGGACCAGGCCATAAAAAGCACGACGTATCGTTAATGATTAGGTTCAATTTGTGCTAACTGGGAAGCAAATTAAATGAAGCAAAGTGCTGGTCGGTAGATCGATACATTGCTTAAAATGTGTTTGTGGATTGACCATCATCAACAACAACAACAAATATCCAATTGAATAATTGACATATCTCATCCACCACATTTCTCACCCACCACATACCTTTTTTTTATTAGTCTTTATTATTGCAGCTCTGACTTAAGCAGAACCACTTACAATGTTACTGATATATCATCTATATATATTTATTATGTTCTTCATATCTTCAACCAATGATATGAAGCAGCCATCTTTTGCCACAAAGGCTGTTTGTTTATCCTTTTCACACGACGTACACATGAATTTATGTGCACGCGCAAGCACCGCATCATATACGCTGAGTATATGATAGCCATTGAGATGTTTGACTCACTGCGCATTCGAACCACTGAGTCATCTCGCCGGCCAGCATGCGACAACTTACGTCGTCTACCCATTAACCAACCCCGAAAGGATGGACGGCTGGGTTGACCGGGAGTCGGCTACCCGGATGAACCTGTAGAAACTGCAGAATTCGAACCCGGGTCGTGGAAGTGGTAGACAGACACGCTAACCACTCGGCCCACCTCCCCACCACATAACTCCCCACCACATACTTCCCCACCACATACCTTCCCACCACATACCTCCCCACCACATACCTCCCCACCACATACCTCTCCACCACATACCTTCTCACCACCTGTCTCATCTTGCAAATTAAGTTTGTGTCGTCGCAAGTTGAACAGCGTGCAGCACTCCCAGATGAGCGACCGTCCACAAGCGACATCACCTCTAATTACTCCCCACTGATTCGTTGGGATGTTGTTGCACCGCGAGGCAACCTCAACCGACGACTTCAGAAGACGAAGAGACGAAGTTGTTCCTTCTCGTTATGTTCAGGTCGCTTAGAATAAATAAAGAAGCAGTCAAATGGAACATCAATGGTGGGAACTTGAAAGCGATGGACGTATTTCATGGCAGAAAAATAAAATAACTGATTGGAACGCTGCTTTTATGAAAATATTCAGCAGGAGATGGAAGTATCTTCTTATTTTGAATGCATTTAAATCTGCCTCGGACCTTTTTTGGACCAATTCAAACATCCAATCAACAAACAGTCTGATTGTTGTAATACATTTTCCGTCATAAACTTCTAACAACAAAAATTTATTGTTATAAGCAATTAAAAGTTGAAAAATTTTCAAAATTCTGAAGTAGATGGTCACAATTAACATTTATAACAATTGCACAATTAAAATTTTCAATATTAATAAAATCATTTGACAAAAAATGAAATATATTTTAAATTAAACAACTGTTTTGTTGAAAAATCAAAAATCTCTAAAAATTCCTCGTCCTTCAGCTCGACTTTGAAACTTTTATGAAATGAAAAAAATTCATTTGCTGGCTTTGGATCCTGACCTCACATCTGACGACTCTGCAATCAGTTGATGACATAAACTTAAAAATTAAATTAAATTTAAACATAATTTGTTGAAACTTGACTGACTCTTATGAAGTAATTGACTAAGAATATGGACATGACAGATAATAATTTGATGATGATGAGGATGACAATGATGATGATGATAACGATGACGATGAAGATGACGATGATGAAGATGATGACGACGATGAGGATGATGAAGATAAAGACCAAAGCAGCAATGCACAATGAAAGCATCGATAAAAATCACAACGCAAGGTCATTTAAACGTGTACGTTGTGTGTGTACTTGCGTACGTGCGTGTGTGTGTGTGTACATGTCTCTTTATTTAATGAATAATTGTTGTGTATGAATTCATGTGGTTGTATGTGTGAGTTTTTTTTTTACAGACGTTTGTCTTTAATTTAACTTATGCGTGTTATCCTCTGTGTGTTTGTGTGTGTGTGTGTACTTGCATGTGCATGCACTTCGCGTAAAGTTTCATGTATGTAAAGGTTGAGTTATATTTACCTGCTTGTTTATGCCACTACCAAGAGGTACGTGAGTCTGTGTACCTCATCCATGTGTGGGTGTGTGTGTGTGTGTGTGTGTGTGTGTGTGTAAGTTTGTGTGTATGTGTACAAACAACCAAACAAGCAGCAAGCCAGCAAACAAACAAATAAATGAATGAACGAATGAACGAACAAACAAACACAATAACATAATGCTAATGATCTTTAAAAATGGAAATAATTGCAGAAATTAAGTAATTATTCATTTGTCCAATGTAGGTAATAAGTCAAAGTGATGATGGTGATCCTAATAACTCATCAACCTTTAGAATCGGCAACTGTCTCAAAGAAAGTTCAGCAACCAAAAAAAGTAATTTCTGTTTTAATAATATTTAATGATACTAAAAACACTGTGAAGCGCCACAAAATTGTGTGTGTATACATTGTACAACACGTGCTTGTTTTTGCGTGCAAACGTATGTGAGTAACTGTACGTGCATGTGTGTTCGAAGTTTCTTTGTGTGTTTGTTGTTGCAACTGTTCATTACACAGTGCACCTCTTTGACGGGGCAGGCATGCATACGTACATGCATTCGTGCACTTCAGCATGAATTGGTTGTCTGTGTTTGTTCATTTTGAGTAAATTAATTGATTTCTATGAAAAAAAGTAAATTTCTCAGTTATAGTAATTTTTTCTTCATGTGTGCATTTGTCTGTATGTGGATGCGTGCGTGCGTGTGTGCGTGTGTGATGCAGAGTGGCATGAAGAGTGAGAGAGAAAGAGAAAGAGAGAGAGAGAGAGAGAGAGAGAGAGAGAGAGAGAGGGAGAGAGAAAGAGAAAGAGACACGCTGCGCACGTGCCGGAGTGTACGTGCATATTGATGATTGAGATTGCTTTCGTGTCTCTGGGATTGCCTGCATACTTCATACTCCACAGTTCTCCTCATATAATCTACGCGCGCATGGGCTTTGATGTGTGTGTGATTTTTTTTAATATTTGCTACACACTCATGCTGTCATGCATTTATTTGTTCATACACTCATGCATTCACTTGTTCATACACTAATGCATTCATTTGTTCATACACTAATGCATTCATGCAATATGCACTTGTTCATACACTCGTGCATTCACTTGTTCATACACTCATGGATTCACTTGTTCATACACTCGTCCATTCACTTGTTCATACACTCATTCATTCATTTGTTCATACACTCATGCATTCACTTATTTCATTGCTTATCATTTTATTAGTTGAGATGCTCAAAATTATTCCCATATACTTGAAAAACAATAATTAACACAATTCAGTTCATCCATTGAAATGTTTAGCACTTTTTATAACTCCACGTGTGTCTTATAAATGTGTTTTTAATGTGTCTCTACACTTTTAGTCAAACCCTGCCACTTCATATTCAAGTTAATATTCAAATTTGGTGGTGTGCTAATATATGTGAAAGTTGGCGTTCCATGATGTGATGTCTGTTGAGTTGTGTGGTGTTGGTATGGTGTGGCGTGGTGTGGTTGGTTACTGGTGTTTTTATGATGTGGTCATGTGGTGTGTGGTGCAATGTTGTTGTGTGGTGTGTGTGTTTGTGAGTAGTGTGGTGTTGTGTGGTGGTGTGTAGCGTGGTGTGGCGTGGTGTGGTGTGGTGCTGTGTGGCTTATAAATCTGAACATTAGTGTCAGTCTGCAGGCATGACAATCTCATCAAACGTCGCAATCTGTTCACTCATCTGCTCTGCCCTTCCTGTTCGCGTGCGCGTGTGATTGTACGTGTGTACGTGTGTGTTTGTACGTGTGTGTGTGTGTTTGTATGTGCGTGCGTGAGTGCGTATGGTTGTTTGTTTGTTTGTGTGTGTGTGTGAGTTTGCTTTTAATAGTGAAAGAGCTCTGGATGGCAAATGAGGATTGAAATCACGTGACGTTTAGCTGTTCGTTGAATGAATGAACCGTGAAGGATTGAATGAGAATGAATGAATGAATGAATGACTGGACAAATGAATGAATGGTTGGCTGATAGAATCAAAGAATGAATAAATAAATGAATGAATGATATTATAAACAAATGGACAAAATAAATAAACAAATATTTTTATCTTAGGATTTATAATTTTGATAAATTTTCTTTTTGAAGTATTGATCACCGTCGTTCTAATAATCACCATCACAATCACTATCATCACCATCATCATCATCATCGCCATCATCATCACCACCATCATCATTATCATCATCATCATCACAATCCTCACCATCATCATCATCATCATCATCACCATCATCACCATCATCATCTTCATCACCATCGTCATCATTGTCATCATAATCACTTTCATTAAAAGCCTCAAAAAGTCATCCCTCGCCATCAGCGTTATTAATGATGATGAAGATTGCAATCGCCCAACATTCATCATCATTGACAATCGATTTTATCATCATCATCATAATCATAATCACCATAATCATCATCATCATTATCTTAATAATAATAATAATAATAATAATAATAATAATAATAATAATAATACAAATAATAATAATAAAAACACTTTTTTATTTTCATCGTAAAAACATACATGAAATGAAAGAAACAATAATTGTCAATAATAATCAAAATTATTACTATACACATGTATATAAAATAATGTTCTGAAATAATCTCCGAAGCTCGTCATCTTATAAAAAGGATGTGTACAACGAGAGAAGGTTAGTCCTAAATGGTTCATTCAATTTGCATTTCTGTCACAGTTAATACTATATGATGACAAAATTGCTGCATAAATAAGATTGTTGATAAAATCATCAGTCCATATTAAATTAATAAGAGACAAATCAAAAGTATAAAAAAACCTAAAGGGAATATTTCAAATGTATTAATTGTAACGTTAGAGTGTTTATAACTATCGGTCAAATTATTTTGCAAATAATTGGGAGTACTTCGCCATTCTATAGTCCTTTATCGGAAGTTGTTAGATTAAACTTTTTCTGACAAATAATAATAATAATAAATGGAACACTACTTTTATTCAATCAAATAACATCTATAATGGCAATAATCAATATAATGAAATTAATTTAAAATAATGATATATTGAAATCAAAATTATTATAAGAATAATGAAATTAATGAAATCAGTAGTCCACTTTGTTCATCATTTTCTACAAATGAGTACTAATAGAGAATGTTAGTTTAGAAAAAATCTATAATGGCAATAATCAATATAATGAAATTAATTTAAAATAATGATAATGATATATTGAAATCAAAATTATTATAAGAATAATGAAATTAATGAAATCAGTAGTCCACTTTGTTCATCATTTTCTACAAATGAGTACTAATAGAGAATGTTAGTTTAGAAAAAAAGGTTCATACATTATTCCTATCGCAATATATTGAATATGATGATGATGAAACCGAGTTCCGACAAAATTAAATCTACTTATGATAAATTAAAGGTATTGTAAAAACCCAATGTTGAAATTTCAAACTGTAGCTCTGTTAATGTAGTTGCTGTTTAAATTTAATTTAAAGTATAGTGAATATTTATTGATTTTATATTCTCTCGACTTTGACAAGTTTGTTTCGTGGCATACTGTTAATTCCAGGATGGATATCGATTGTGTTATTGCAAACTAGAGCTTTATTGGGACGAAGATATTTAAAAAGTACAGTCACTGGGCGAAAATCTTCACCATCTAAATCAGCAAATATTGAAACATCCGAATTTGCGCAGTTTGTAACGTTGTCCAAAACTGTCAAAAAGATCTTATTGTGGCAATTCGAATACATTTTCAAAGCAGCAACAGAGTTACAGTTGGATGAAACATGTTTGTTCGATTGACGTTCGTTACATAGTGGACACCTTGGTTCAGACGATCTAGCCCATCTAACAAGGTTGGAATTTGTTGGAAGTTGCTGGATTATACCTTTCCTAACAAATCTGAAATTGACCTCCGATAGCAAGGCCGTAGATCTTGACTAGCGAGCAATTTGATCTGCTTTGATGTGTTCTGTCACTGTCTTCAAAACTATCCCTTGAGAACTTAGTGATGTTAAATGGGTGAACTGCGTTTTTTGCTGGTTGAGCATCAAATTCTTGAGAGTAGGATTTATGTTATTGGAGTGTGGGAACATGTTGTCTATTTTTATAGAGCCGTTAAATGTTTCTTTTCACAGGCTTTTCATTTGTTTATTACCACTTGATTTGAGGTGGCCGCCGAAGTTTAACTCTTAATGACTTCAGTGTAGTGCTTCAGTGATCTGATGCTCAAGCCTCCCAATTCGTATGGCAGTGACATAGTTATAATAATAATAATTATAATAATAATAATAATAATAATGTGAACAGCCTTTTATTTCATCGTAAGATCCAAATTTCCAAAGAATAATTAACGAATGTTAACACGCGAAATTATATGATATTAAGTAGTATATGGAGATTAAATAAAATAGAGTTAAAATAGAGAAAGTTGTTGCTGTTAGTGATAAAACTTTTCGCTCATTGCGTAAGGCAAGTACAAAAAGTATACGAGGCACAAAGATTGTTACATGTTGTTTCGTTCACAGTAGATGCCATATGATGAGGTTATTGCTGCCACCATCAATGTTTTTATGAATGAATCCGACCAAGACATGTTAATTGATTGCAACTTCAATTTGTTAAAGAGGCCCATTAGGGATATCTCAATTGTTATAATAATTATTTTGAACTGACTAAAATTATTATTGAGATTGGTTATAAGTCTGTCCTTATATTTGTTGAGTTTATATTCTCTTGAGTTGGCCAAATTCGTTTCATGGCATACCGTGAGCTCGAGAACCTCAATGGTGTCTCGATATAGGATGGCAACGTCTGGCCGTAACGATTCAAACATGGTTGATATTGGTTGTACTTCTTCAACGTTTACATCCGCATAGATGACGCAGTCGGGCCTCTTCTGTAGTCTCAGGGCGTTAACAATCAACTTCAATATTTTGTTATGCCTTTTTGTGTATCGAGCCAGTGCTGAAACTGATCCACAGTTGGACAGGACATGCTTGTTGGTCTGACTTACATTGCAGAGAGGGCATTGTTGATTGTTTGTTTTTCCCCATCTGTATAAGTTTGCATTGGTCGGCAACTGTTGTATTAAGTACTTTCTGACGAATTTGTATAAAGCTGCTGGGAGATCGTCAAGGGCTTCGGACCACCGGCAAATTTGTTTGGCCGTGTTGTGTTTCTTAATGGATCTGATTATCACACCCTGACTTTGGAGAGCCTCAATATGTTTGTATTGCATCTCCAGGCATCTATTTTCTGCAGCCACCACCGCCGCTTTTAGAAAGACCGCGTTTTTCAGCGTTTTATCTATTTTGCTGTGGTTGGTGTTGGACTCTTGCCAAAGGCATCTGATCTCTTTATTTACATTTGTTTTGAGGTAGCTGCGTAGCTTTAGTCTCAAAGCTTCGGCAGAGTCTTTCAAAGACTTTATGTTATGTCCACCAAGTCGTGTAGGCAAGGACAAGATTTCAGCCACGCAGCCACTAATCGGAACTGAGAGCCAGTTTCTGACTGCTTCAGTTATCATTTTGTCAAGGTTGTTTCCAATCCAAGTGAGCGATATGTCGCTGGATCGGAGGTCGAATTTTAGCTGACATGGAATATAAGTTTTCACTATTTTAAGTTTCTCTTGCGGTTTTACATTTAACGCTGTTATTATTTTCAACATGTTTGACAGTTTGGTGCATAGCTTGTCTTTTAGCTTATTGTTAGTGCATCCAAAATCATAGAATTTACCTAAATATTCAAAACTATCACCAGCGGCCACCTGCGGAATTGTAATGTTATCTATACTCAGTCTTGGCATATATTGTTCATAATTGCCATCTTTTTTCCTCATCCCGAACGTAATACATTTGTCGATCCTCATTTCCATTCCCGACCACTTGCACCATGCTTGATTCAGATTGATCAATGTTTGCGCTCCTTCCGTGCTGTGTGCAATGATTGCCGAATCGTCGGCAAATTGTAGCCAGGATCTGGATTTAAGTTCAGCCGAAGGACCCCAAATGTAGCCGCATTGACGATACTCGCTTTCTTCCAAAATTTTCATCAGCGGATTAAAACACATATTGAAGAGGATTGGAGAACATGGATCCCCTTGTAGTACACCTTTCCTGATTCGAATTGCAGGGGTTAGACTACCATTGATTGATACCATTATTGAGTAATCAGAGTAGATTGAACGTATCAAATTAGATATTGGAAGTGGAACGTGATGATGGATGAGCATTAACTCAATCAATCCATGGCTTACCTCACCAAAGGCGTTGCGCAAATCTAGTAATGTTACGATGATTGTCCTTTGGTGTCTTTTAGCGTCATTTAATAGATAGGTAAGCATTTGTGTATGCTCTGTGAGTCCATCAATCGACGGATAAAATCCTTTTTGAATATTTTTATTGAGGTACTTATTACTTTCTAAAAATTGATATAGTCTATTTTTGATGACAGCAGAAAATACTTTGTAGGGTATTGGCTGCAGTGTAATAGGCTGGAAGTTTGCAGGGTCTTTGGCGTCTCCTTTTTTGTAAATTAATATTGTTAAACCTTTACGCCAACATGTTGGAATGGATGAAGTTGACCAGCATTTTATTATCAATTTGTGTAAAAATGTTCTTAGTATTGGACATCTTTTAAATACCATTATTGAAATTTGGTCTAGAGGGCATGGCGAGGATTTGGACTTTATTTTATGTATGGCCGAAACCATTTCGTTGTAACTTGGTGGGTCACTGTTGCAATTTTGTGATGGAATTTGTAGAGAATGTATCCAATCTGGTTTATGAAAAGTGTTGTTTCCACTGTTTTTAGCTGAGGATTTGTAATACGTATATCCGGTGTCTACATCGAACAGTGGTGACACTTGTTTCGTTGGCAAAAAAATATTTTGGCACGTTTTCCAGAAATTGTTTTTTAGTTGTTGCGCAATATCGTTCTTGCGGTCAGCCTTTTTGTATCTCAATTTTGTTCTAATTAGTTTACTTGATGAGATAATTTCTTTTTTGTTTTTTACAATTTTTTTTTAGTTTGGCCAAATCTTTTTTCATTTGGTTAATTGAACGGTTTTGGTCTATTGTTATTCTTTTATTAATGGTACCATGAGATTTTTCAAAATATTTGTAAATTAAATTGTTGAACTGATAAGCAAACTTGTCAATATCATCGACGTCTCACCATGAATTTAACTCAGCATGGAAATATGCGTTTGCCTCTTCCCAATCTCGTCTTGTACGGGGAAGTTTTATACCTGGCAGGGGTCTGGCGGATGGAGCAGTGTGGGCCTCCACTGGCGACGACGACTGTGTTGGTTGTTGTATGCTGTTGATTTGCTTAAACTCAGAAGTAGCCTCATTAGGTGACAACGGCGGTGGCGACCGGTGGACTTTGTTGAGTTCTGTAATTGAGGAAGTGGCCACACCTGACGACGACGATGGCGGCATTGGTAGACGAACGCTATTTAAAGTTGTAGTTGTGAAAGCATCTTCTGTTGTCGATGTCGATGGCGATTTTTGAGCGTTGTTGAACGTTGCAGTCGTCGAGGCAGACTCTTTGTCAACCACTGGATGAAAATACAGAAGCTTGGACGTTTGGCATGATCGTTCATTAATCCTTTCCGTCCTTTACAAAACTTTCCACAGCAGCACTTAATTAAACTATCTGAATTATTCGAATTTTCAGACAAACTATTTGAATTTTTCAGTAAATTATTCCTGTTATCCGAATTGGCAGGTAAATTATACAAATCATCCGAATTGACAGGTAAATTATTATCAATTAAAGAGTTCAGATTATTTTCTTGGATATTTACTGAATTTGAAATATTATCATTCGTTATGTTATTAGCGTTGATATTAGATTGTATAGATAATTTTGTGCACCGCCAAAGGTGTTTATTGATACAAATAAAGTCTTTTAAACAATGCGGACATTTAGTTTTGACAGCCATTATTAAAAAACGAATTAAACTTTAAACACTTGTAAAATTAAGCAAAATTTCGAATTTAAGATTAAATTTAATCCAGTTTATGCAGCAAATAACATTTCCTATCTAAAATAACAAACTTTGTACTTTAAAACATTCTAAAAAACATGAATATTACTCTAAAAACAGTGAGCCGCAAAAATTCGACTCTCATGTTTTATAATAATAATAATAATAATAATAATAATAATAATAATAATAATAATAATAATAATAATAATAATAATAATAATATACAACAACATCATACAACCACAACAATAACAACAACAATATTATTGATAATAATAATAAAAACAATCTCAATAGATACAAAACACAAAATAACTTGAATTCAACAACAAAACTGCATGAAATTTATTGCAATAGAAAGTTTAAAAACATCGAAGGTATTGAAAACGACTTGAAGATAGATCTTTCTTTCGCCGACATTCACTACATCCTGGTAGTAAAACAAAAAGAATAATACAAAAATGAAATATCGCCCAAGTGGTGTAAACACAATCATTCAGAAACTACTTCAGCATTGCCATTTTGCTGTAGCAAAGCATTCAACAACAACAACTACAACCACATCAGAACAAAATCAACTACATCATGCAACAACAACAAAACATACAACAACATTTTAACAACAAAAACAACAACAACGTAATACAACAGCAGCCGCGTCAACAAAACATACAACAAAAACATGCTACAACAACACAAATAACATCATAACAACGACAACAAAACATGCAGCCCAGGCATCGACACACATCAAACATCCAATCACGCTGCCTTCCATAGAATCACGTGATGAAAACAAAGCAATCAGATAGATTGAAAGTTAAATTGAAAATGAATGCACACATTAATGAGCGAATAGATGGATGGATGGATGGATGGATGAATGGATGGATAGATAGATTAATGGATAGATGGATGGATGGATGAAAAATTAAATGATGGATGGATGAAAGAATAAATGATGGATGAATGAAATTCTCAGGAGATGAATGAAGATAACGAAAATAATCTTTTGAAAAATGAATGATAGACAGATGAATGGACAGATGAATGAACAAATGAAAACAGATTAATATTATTAAAGCACGTTATTAAATTTTACTAAGAAAAAGATGACACTCACAGTTGAGATATTTAATGTGAAGGAATTTATGAAGGATGGATTGAACGAATGAGAATTAGATGAATGAATACCTTTGCTGAAAAACCACGCTATGAATATTTTTTTTATAAAAGGAGAAATTAATAAATTAAAATCAAACTAGTTAACAATGAAAGGAGGCAGTGCAGACTAAAATTTGATTTTAAAAACATTTGAAAAAATGCAAGACAACCTTAAAAATGAAATGCAAATGGACGGTCACGGTAAAATAACTGCAATAAAACCAGCCAAAACAAAAAACGCGCGTGAAGCTGCGGAGCGAGCCACTGTCGCTTACCTGCGTCGGACCAATATCTGAAATGTCGAGACAGGTGTTGTGTGTGTGTGTGTGTATGTATGTGCGTGTGAGTGTGAGTGTGTGAGTGAGTTTGTTTATTTCTGTGTGTGTGTGTGTGTGTGTGTGTGTGTGTGTGTGTGTGTGTGTGTGTGTGTGTGTGTGTGTGACTATATTTTAGTTAAAAATAGAACTGATCAAATAGAACTGATCAAATGAAAGTCATAAGACTTTTAAATGATCCAACAATAAATATATTGAGAAGATAAATAAAAATGCGTCAGAGAATATAAAATCTGGCCATCCTGACCGGGGCAGATCTGGACAAAATTGACTGGGGGGGATAAGATTTTTTAAATATTTGACGATCGGGGGCAGAGATTTTTTTCACAAAATTGGTTTGGGGCCGGAAGAGAGATTTTATTTTCACAATTTTTTTGAAGGTGTTGCAATGTTCATTGACGTTATGATTAAAATTTGATTATTCATTTATTGATTTTGTATTAAAGGTTTCATGAATTTTGGTAAAACTCGTTAGAAAATTGCTGACCGGGAATCAAATATATAATCCAGAGAAAAATTACATTGAAAAAATCATCCTGTAGCAGTTTTTATCAGCTGGAGTTATGTTAGAGCAGCAAAAATAATGTCCATTATTTTTAAAACGAGACAACAATTATGCATCTCTGTTTTTTGACAATCAAAACAATTGTGGTAGATGCAGCAGCTTTTTGTAATTGTGCTGGAAGCGGCGGTTCTGATTTATTTCATTAGTGGTGACGATAGGGGTAAGGGTGGTTGCGTCATTTGTGTTCATAGTAGTAGTAGTAGTAGTAGTAGTAGTAGTAGTAGTAGTAGTAGTAGTAGTAGTAGTAGTAGTAGTAGTAGTAGTAGTAGTAGTAGTAGTAGTAGTAGTAGTAGTAGTGGAAGGAGTAGTAGTAGTGTAGTATTAGTAGTAGTAGTAGTAGTAGTAGTAGTAGTAGTAGTAGTAGTAATAGTAGTAGTAGTAGTAGTAGTGTAGTATTGATAGTAGTAGTAGTAGTAGGTATAGTAGGTAGTAGTAGTAGTAGTAGTAGTAGTAGTAGTAGTAGTAGTAGTAGTAGTAGTAGTATTAGTAGTAGTAGTAGTAGAGGCAGCAAGAGATGTATCAGCAGCAGAAGTCGACGAGGAATAATCCAAACGTCGCGTTTATTGTTGTTTGTGTCTCCAGTTTTTATCAGATTTGTGCAGTATCATTTGAAAGTTCGTCCGCATTTATAGCCGCGGGTTAGAAAGGCTTGTCTGCCTGAAGTTTCGTGTGCACGCCTGTCTGCTGCTAGGTGCTCGTGTGACTTCTTCCCCAAATGGGTTGTATGAAATTTGTTTGCACGTAGTCAATTTTAAGTTGTTTTCGGTTTTTACATTAATACATTTAGTTGTGCAAACTATAAAAAAAACCTTTCTTTTGAAATTAATTTTCTCAGGCTGGTTTTGAGGACGGTTTTCTAAATAAAAAATTTCTGAAAATGTCATCCGTATTCATCTCCAAAACTTTACATAAAGTATGAACAAATGTAGAATTGCTAAGCAATTTAGGTGAATTATAAACATTCAGATTAATAATAATTTAATAACTTTATAAATTTCATGTGAAATTTTATTTCTTTGTCTGAGTGTGAGCATATTTAAAAATTTATTCTGACAAAAGTATTATTTTAAAAATATTTGAAAAAGCAAGTTGTATACATAGATGCCATTTAAATTTGACACCTAAAACATTAATTGTTAGATCCCCAACACCGATGTGGAAACTTTTCTCCGTGAACATTATCCGTTCGTCTGAAATACCATCTGGTGTTTGTAGGCAGAAATCATTCCATAACCCACCACCTTCTTCCACTTGTTTCAATGAAATACAAAAACTCGACGCATGATGAACATTGTCAAATAATTAATTCTGGTAGGTTACGTTAAGTAAGCTAACTTTTGAAATATACGTCATGAAATCTTGCATGCCGTGTCTTGTGACAACAGGAATGCTTTTAAATACTGGCCACCAAATATAAAACTGAACAAACAAATAAATGAACAACAGAATCAATCAGCAATCTGACTCAAGCTTTAAAACATTCAAATAATTCAAGAAGTATAAATTACACACGTGCACTCGGTGGATCTATTTCAAACAAGTAGCTGTTGTGTTAATAGCTTGGGCCCAATCATCGAACATGCAGCACACCACATAAAGGAGACAAACATTGTTTAAAAAGGCACGCCTGATCATGCATACAGAATTGGAGAGAGATCCAAGCAGATTATATAAATTCGAATGCAAAAAATAAATCTACGTACATTTAGAACAATCGCAGGATCCCAACTGTCACCAAACACATCATGATGCATGCCAGGCGTCTAAAAATGTACCAAACGCCTCAGTGGCCGTGAACGCATATGAATAAACACTTCGGATCCTTTTCACAAAGAACAACACGTGGAAAACATTCTGTCTTCTTATTTGCGTTACATGAGATCAAACAAGGCAGTTTTGCGTATTTGTACTGCGATCTATATGAAACCCTTTGCACAGGAGGGACGTAAGCATCCCACTGGACTGCTGACAAATATGAAACGTCTGACTGTTTGTCGTATTGAACTGATCTAACACCCCTGTTGTCGTGCTCAGAATCGGAAAGCGATGATGTGGTGATGGTGGTGGTGAGGGTGATGGTGATGTTGGTGTGGTGGTGATGGTGAAAATGTGAAATGAAATTATTATTATTTTGATTATTATTATTATTACAGTTACAGACTTTTATCATGGTTCTTCACTCAGTTGCCACTGTAAAATGTAGGGTGGGACGTGATTTCAGAAGTGTTGTTGCTATTGATGTCAGTTATGGTCTTTATGTAGATGATGATATTGTTGATGTTGATGATATTGTTGTTGATGATGATGTTGATGCTGATGTTAATGATGATGATGATGTTGTATGTTGTTGTTGATGATGATGATGTTGATGATGATGTTGAT